ATTGCGTGCCGACGACCAAAAAATGATGCATATGCATGTATCGAGGATAAAGAAAGATCAAAGAAAATTTTTCTCCGAACGTTTTCCGGTGAATGAAAACGTCACCATTGGACTCAGAATTAAATTCTACATCGAATACACTCGGTTTTATCGGCCGGAATTCGTTTTCAGAAAATCCTTAGTTTAATGGTGCTAGCTCGATGGTGCTAGCTTCACACCGATGATTATGATTATTTAATCGTTTAGCAGTTAATTAAGTGGAAATTAACGATTAAGTGCAATCCGTGAAACGTTAATATTGACGTTTAACAGGTTCTGTTAATTAACGGCCGTTAATTAAGTAGAATTAAATTAAATGGTCCACCCCTATCCATATAACCTTCTCTCAAAAGTCTATGTTAGCAAAGCTCTATAGAAAAAGAAAAAAAGCTAATAATAATCAGATTATTTAATTTCAATAGGCTGAGTTTGATAAAAGATTACATTAAGTTGCATTTGAAGAAGATGAAATCCTAAAGGGAGTTACATAACTATTACGCCCCTTTTTCAACCTAATGAGCAAATAATAATACAAAGTATTTTATACTAAATTAAAGCCCGTTAATAACTGCATCGAGGAATATAATTGGAATAAATTCTGTCTATACAACTAGTCATGCGCTAAACATCAGAATGTCGAAAATTACAAAATCGCAAAAACAGGAGAAGAAATGAAGAAATTTGAAACAACACTGATGATTTTTTTCTTCTGTCTTCGCTACTCTCTTATCTGTTCGTGCATATATGTACGCATGATCTTTTTCGCCTTTTCTGTCCGTTTTTAATCGTGAGTGGTGATTTCTTTACGATAACTGGTAAACGTGTGATCCAGTTAGTGTATTTACTTTCGTAGTAGTTAAACAAGAATGGCACAAAGTGAATTACACTGTTCTAATATAATTGACACTTGATACCACTTCAAACCAATGTGAGCTACAATCCATAAAAAATTAATTTACGTATAGTAAAATTCCTCTACAGTGAACACCGGTGGGACTTTTAAAAATCGTTCACATTCATGGGGTGATCAGTTAGGAGCTTTATAGGCAAACTAAGCTTGTCCTTTGCATATACTATGGTATACATTAAATTATTTCTATTCATCGATAGAGATGTAATCAGATCAGAGTTGGAGCCGGTCCGGCCGGATTGGACAAGACCGGATGAAAAGTCAAACCGGCCTGGATAAACCAGTTTTTTATTTGAAGCATCTTGTCAGAAATTCCTGAATATTTCAGGTGAAAAAAGAACATATGAAGGTGTTTATATCAATTCATTGACGTGCAAAGCCGTAATTTAATTCAATGGTGATCACTTTTTATTCATAATTGGGCTAACCTCAATGAGGAAAAGGTCAGTCAGATACGAAAAGGAGAGTAAGAGATTCCTTCGAACTTTTCTTACTGACTATTCAGAAGTACAAGCGCGACTTCACCAAGTTTTAACCTTTACGCGTCATCCCATTGCTATCGATGATCGACCCGGACAATCTTCAAGCTGGCCAGGTTCAGCGAAAATTACAACTAAAAGAATTTGTTTTAATCAAAAACGAAAAGAATAACTATGAACTTTGGCAACACGACATCTCATTAATCGGTCAGATTAACACTGAAGGTACTGAAATAACACTTAATGGCTGGGCTGCTTGCAATCACCGCTTTACAGCTTATCGAACTCATTCGAAAGCTACTGGACAAAATCGTAAAAACTATGACCTAAAGCCATTTCACTCAAATGAAAGAATGTAAATCAAGACGTAGGAATGTTATTAACAATACTCAAGTATGGACTTCACCTGCTTCTTTTTCAACAACTGTTACTCAACCATCAATAAGTAAGTTTGCTTAGAATAAAAATCAGTTGAGCGAAAGTCTAGTAGCTAAACTTAAAGATGCAGAAGTTAAATTTGTCGTTGCAGGTTCACATTCATTCAATACTTTGGAAAATGGTAGTTTACTTGATCTTCTTCAAGTAGCTATCGAAATTGGAGCTAAGCATGGACTAATGAGTGTCAAAGGCGTCTTTTATGAGCATAAAGCTATTCGTCAAGAAACAATTAGTAAGTATCAATTATTCACATCGTCAATTCGTTCTCTTCTCGATGAACCTATCAAACGACACTGTAGCTGCAATTTGCGATCTGTGGAGTGATGGTATTATTCAACGTTTCTATCTCGATTTCACTGTCTTTTGGAGTGGCGATAACTATCAACTTCATCATTGTTCGTTGTGCTGCAAGCATTTTGAAAATGAATCAAAGGCAGCAATTAATATTTGGAATGAAATTGAACAGATATTCCAAAGCTTTGAACTTTTATTTGGTGACACTCCTATCGTAACTGATCAAGGTGCAAATACCCAGGCCGATCCAATGAAATCCTGGTGACTGAATCGCATTGGATTCCGATGATCTCGGATTCTTTCGGATCCCATGTCGGATCTCATCGGATCCGAAACATGATTTTTCCAGATTTTCTAAGGGTCATCGTAGAATACAGCTAGAAAGATCGCTCATAAAATTGGCAAGAACCGACGGAATTTTTCCAGTCCGGATCCAGCATCGAATTTATTAACCTGGGTATGGTCCTTGCATTTAAATTAACTGATGAAGCTCGCTTTTCATACATGGTGCATCGATGTAATACAGCAGTTGAGACCGCTTGGCAGAGACTTGATACAAAAAAACACGAAGTTTTCTACTTCTAATACAGGTGTGAAAGACATTCGTAGCTAAGCTCAGCAATCAGGTGGTATTCAAGAGAATTTGGAGAAAACAATATATCCAGAGCAATGGTGGTACGTGCCCATGGCGTTCCTATTTCATTGTTCATAAATCTCTACATACTTCTTACGAACAATTATATTGACTATTCTTCGACGTCGTGGCGAACAATGTCGCCTTTATCAAATTGATCTAGTTCTTCTGGGCGGTATTGCTGATTTTATGAAGTCGTTTTCATTAATTTTTGACTAACTCGAATTTGCAAATATACCAACACTTCAGAACGTTGTGTCCAGCTTTTATATGATGAAAACGTATGCTCAAGCAGACAAACATGATCTTTCTATTATAGCACAACTTAAAATCGAATTATTGAACAGTTTAGCCAAGGAATATGAAACATCAATCACTGAACTTCATTGGACTCGCTTCTTATTTCGATCCATCGTTTAGAAACTTCTCGTTTACTGACGATATCGAATTATTTAAATAAGATGAAAAAGACTGCACAAAGGTATTCATATGTTGGCCATGGATTTATATGACCTAGTGAAGCAGACATTTACTATCACTCACGACATTTCAAGCTCGGCTGATGTCGATACATCACCATCGAAAAGATTCAATCAAGATCCTTTCGCTGATCTTCGTCAAAAGAATGCAACGTCGCCGTCTACTAGCTTATCGACGAAACGCGCTTGGACAGTCGAATTTGATCGTCAGCTACAAATTTACGAAAACGTTCAACTTGGTTCTGATTACGATAGCAATCCATTTTCATATTGGAAGAACTAGAAAAATACTCTAAACATGCTTGCCAGTATTGCTAAGTCACTTTTCGTTATTCCTGCATTATCAGCTGAGAGTGAACGTCACTTCCACATTGAGGGACACACTGTCACAAAACAACGTAGTTTATTGGATCCTGATACAATTGAAGCACTCGTTGTTCTCAAAGCGGTATATATAAACAATATGTGGTATACATCTACTATTGGCTCAACAAAACTCGTTAAGTTGGATTAATGGCTCATCTCAACTTAAGTAATACTCTCTTTTTTTTTGTTTTTCACTTCGTGTTCGCATTCAGATTTGAACTCATATGTATACAAATGTAATGTGTGTTTTTCTTTATCAAGTAATGAGCTTGCGAAAAGAGCGATTATTATCATATTTGTGTTCTCTATTTTTACTGCTTTAAATAGAGATGATCAAACTAACTAAATCGATTAAATCGTTTCATTTCTTCTCAAAATAAAGGTTAACAATACATTTTTGCTTGACGTAGAGAAAATCTTTTTATATTTTCCTTTTCTCTTCAGTTGGATACTCGATTTACTGCTTAGAAAACTGATCTTTGTCATTATTTTAAGTAAAATACTATAATATAAATTTAAAACTTCCCGGATTTTTGCCAGGGTGATGGAAAAAATAATCCGACCGCAACGGATCGAAAAAATCTGTCCGATTCCAACTCTGATTCAGATAAAATTTACCCTATTCATTGATATATAAGTAAAAATTTTTATCGAATCTTACGGTTTGAATTAGCTTCATTTTTTCGTTCAGATAAAGTTCTCGACGTGATGCCATCATCAACAGGTCATAATTGACACGCAAAGACCACAAAATCGAATTTTACACCTATTTGATAGACTCTCTCTTTGTTGTTTATTTCGCCAATCATACGATAAACCAAATCGAGCACATTGTATCACTTTAAAGATTAATGGCACCCTCTATAGTTGTTCACAGTACAGAATGTGATTCACACTGTCGGGACCGGAAAGCGTTCAGTACAACGGATTGATCGCTAAGGAGGAGTGTTCACTAAGAGGGTTAAAGACTCCTCTATCATCGTTTGTAAATTTCCAAGCTGTTTGCGAATACAACTATATCCGCAGGAAATTTTAGGCTGTTTGGGCGTCCTACACATATTCTGTTATCATTTACTTCCTATTTTGGTTGTCTTGATATATCTTTTAGACATGTAACAGAAAAAAGTCGGAGACACCATGTCACTGCCTCACTTCGATCTTAATGTTTACATAGACTATGTTCTTATAACGATTTATAAGTTTTAACAGGGTCACACTATCTGAAAAGCGACGGATCATTCTGAACCACAAACAGACTTTATCAAGATCCTAAAACCTTTTATACTTCTAGATTATAGTCCTATTATCAAAATAATCGTCTCTGGTTTTAGAACTAAAACTTTGAACTCGTTTTAGCCATGCTATTAGATTGGGCAAAACGTTCTGCAATATTTTCCCACGCTAAGTGCTTTCCGAATTGTTGTAGAACTTTTGCCCAACCTAGTAATACAGATAAAGCGATTACTAATTCTAGGTTTTCCGCCAAAATTTTAACAGAATTTCAAAAGAGTACCAGAAAAGTTTCAGTAGCAGATCACGTTTCTGCACACTAAATTTTTAAATTAAATCCATCTATAATCTTTCGATAACGCAACCTACAGCGTAAAGAAACAACAAGCTATATAGCACAAATAATGTGGTGGTCTTCGAAAAAACGTACTGAACACGTTTTTTATTTCAACCTAGACATTGTGCATACTGAGTCTGAAAAGACGTACCTTCATTTACAATATTTGCTTCACGAGAAAAAATTGTATTCTGTATTTCACTAAGTTCTTCCGGTAGAACAAGAGTAAGTTTCCGTATTGACATATCAGACTGTTCAACTGAAGTCGAGCTTGAAGTAGTTCCGAATAGTTGTGAGAAAAGTTGTTGAAATCGTTGAGTTATTTG